AAAATGATTTACGGTTTTATTTTGGATTAACAACGTCAAAATTCTAATGCCCCAAATCAAAACGTTTTCACAAAAATGGGCAATAAAAATGGACATTAACTTTAATATCTCAACCAAGATTTACGCATAAATAAGGTGAAACAGAGTAAGCAAGGCAGAGGTTAATAACAGCACTGATATCAAATGTAAAATTTCTAAATACCATATTCGATCTAAAAACATATTTGAATCGATAAGCGAAAAGCGAGATAAGATCATGCATACTTCCGGTCATAACTCATATGAACAAAGTTTACACTCACAGCTCACACGACAAATTTTCTGTTATAGATCTTCTAAGCTTTTCTCACCCACAACCCGATGGTGCAAATAAAATGAAGAGGAGCAAGCTTAGGGACCAAAACAACAAGCATCACATCTAATTTATAGTATTTTGCCCATCACAGAGTTCAATTGATGTGACCACATTATGGAATATTACTAAATTCATGTGTTGAACTTAGACGCTATATGGACCACATTATAGAATTTATTTCCCTTAAAAACACCAAGAAATTCCAACGAGTATTAAAATTAAAACAAAGAATTAATTAATTTGGGAATTCTAACGTGTATTAAAATTAAAACAAAGAATTAATTAATTTGGAAATTCCAATAGGTGTTGAAATTAAAATAGAGTTTTAATTAATTTGGGAATTCTAAAGAAATAAATTTAATTCCTATCATTAATTAATTTGGGAATCTTAAAGAAAAAATCCCAACATCGTATAACAGAATTCGGAGTCTCTTGGAATGAAGAGATGTGTCATTTAGAATAAAGAGATTGTTTCTTTGAATGAAGATGTGTGTCTATTGGAAATAAGTGGGTTGGGGGGAGCGAAGACATGTTAGTAATTTTCAATGTGAGTTTTATCTATATATATGATGTGTAACCCTATGGGTATGTACTTGACTCCTCTGAAATAGTGAAATTCGTCGCTCTACTCCGGAGGACGTTGGCAACTTTGCTGAACCTCGTTCAATCTTTGTGCTATTCTATATTATCTGGTTTCACAGCTCGCAAAGTCTTCAAAATTTATTGTTGTGCCAACAAATTTTTCACTCTTGTTTGTCACAATTCGAAGTTCCTGGCTTCATCGAACTTCACTATCTCGAATTTTGCACCAGACATTCCTATTTGAAATTATTCCTGCAGCGAACTTTTCCTGTCTTGTGTCGAAACAAAAACACACCGAAAATAAATTCAAAAAAACCTTAAATTTTTCTGTCAATTGCAACAATTTTTCTACAATTCTGTTGTGATCCGTGAATCAAAATCTTTCTTGTTCGCATAAAAATTCGGCCTAACTACTATGGGTAACCTTATGGGTATCTACTTGACTCCTCTTAAATAATGAAATTCACCGCTCTGCTCCCGATGACGTAGGCATCTTTGCCGAACCTCGTTAAATCTTTTCGTTCTTCTGATTTTGTGTCAATTCTTATTATTCCTCGCCCTAAATTTCTCTACAAAACCTTACTTTAAAATAAATAAAATGGGCATTTAAATTCATACCGGACAATTCTCATGTATTTATTGCATTGCTAACCCCCCAACTTTTCATATTTACATGCATCACACTCAAAGTCTTAACGTCAGATCAAAAGTATTACAATTACTTGAAAGTGAAATAGAGATGAATCATGTGGTTTTTGACATTATAGTGTTATAAATGTAAATATAAAAATTTAGGTGTGTGATATGTAAGAACATATAATGTGAATTTTTCATAAAATTGTTATTGATATGGTTATTTAAAATGAATTTTTTTTTTTGGAAAATTCTAATTCTCCATTTTAAATAATTTTAAATAATAAAATCTATGATAATTTTATTAAAAATTTACATAAACCACATAATTATTATGCATTTACATATCTAACACTTAAATTTTGATATTTACATTTATAATGCTTTTGGTGTTTGTAAACACGCATGAAAATATATATTTTACTTTTAAGAAATTAATAATAGAGACATTTTTTTTTTCCTGTAATGTTAAAAGATATGAGTGGTATGCATGTTGATATGAAAATTTAGGAGTTCGGTACTATATACACTAATTGTGAGCCTGAATTGCAAAACATTCGAAAGGCCCAGACAACGGCCAGAAAACCAAAGCGGTATGTCGCCTTACTACCAGCCATGTGATCGGAATGACAGACCATGCCGAGTGTCCCGATGACAGAGGCACATACGGGAATCCTTGATCGCGGCTAATCGGTCGACTTACATTTACTACAACGAACGAGATCAATACTCAATTAGGCGCCTCGGCTGACTAACCCAAGGCGCTCAGTAGGTCGAATTCAAGAAAATCGGACAACCAATTACCATCATGTTAAAATTCAAAGTGTAATACTGATATGGTATGAACTCCATACGATTAATTAAAGCATCAATTGAAATAAGAACAATTTTCATAATTGTTCCCTCCTTTATGTAATTGTACAAAATACCCCTCCATATATAAGAGGCAAAATTATGAATAAAATGGCTTTTCACTAGCTCTCTTTACAAGAAGCTCCTGACTTGCTATATTTGTTTTCTCTATTCTTTCCTTCACTCAATCTTAAACCCTCGGGGTGTATTCACAAAGAACTACTTTGGATCCAACACTCTAAAAGGTGGTGTAATGAGCTTGGATATGCCACAGACGAGAACTGGAAAAGGCTACGAAAGAGAAACTTCTCAAAGTGTGATAGCACGTATGGAACCCAATAGAGATGCTACACTACTAGACATCTATGCACAATTTCAAGGCTTACAAGCCCAAATGACCCTCATGTTGGAGCAATTCGAGATCCTCCGAGCAGCAATCACCCGTGAAACGACAATCCGCCCCGTTTGAAGGGCCAAAACAATCCCCCCATCCCCCCCGCCCCCCGCGTTGGTGAACCCGTCTACTCTGTACAACAAAGTCAACAACCAACAAACAGAAGGACAAGGCGAGTCCCAACACACTGATATAAGTGTGCATGCACATGTGAACAGGTGATGGGAAGAACAATTGCGAGTGCCTGTCTGACCACTCGCAGGAGGGGCGTTCACTTGCCAAATCAAAGAGGCAATACCCCGCCCATGCTAAGGATCCCTGGCCAAGATTCTTACGAAGAGAGGATCGACCCAATCGACAACGTAACATCGTTCGAATCATCTATTCGTATGCTCTAGATCGACGACGCTATATTGTGTCATCACTTCTTAACCACGTTGTAAGGGTGGGCTCTTTGATGGTTCAATGGTCTGCCAACTGAAAGCATCCCAATTTACTAAGAGTTTAATATACTCTTTGTTTCACACTTATCAAACGTACAGAAACCGAGGAAATACTCTGACACTCTTCTAGACCTCAAACAAGGAGAAAATGAGAGTCTGCAAGCCTACATCACCCGCATCTAGAACGAGATACTCAAAGTTAGAGTTCTAAAGCCTGATATGGCTGGTTAAAATGAAGAATGTGAAGTGAGTGGTTCATGTATGACCTAAACCTATTCAAACCTGCTAATTTTGTAGAAGTATTGCATATGGCAAACGAGTTCATATTCATCGAGGAAGATCTTTAGGACTCTTCAAAAGGTAAGTTGGAGTCATCTAACCATCCCTTGAAGAACCATAAAGAACAAGGGGAACCACAGAAAATAAAACACAACCAGTCCTCTGTCAGTAGCCAAAACAATGACTCTTGGACCCGGGAACAACGAAGAAATGACAAAGGGAATCACGATTGGAAAACACCCTTTGATCAACAACGAGTTTAATATTATGAGTGACTGCATGTCTACCGTGAAATGCAATGTTTGACACCCCTCATTATGTCAAAGGCTGAAATAGTACAGCACATCCATACTAAAGATTATTTCAAACCGGCCCCACCACTAAAGGCGGCTCCTGCCTTACAAAATCCGAACAGGTAATGCCAGTACCATCGTGACCATGACCACCACACGGAGGAATACTATCACCTCTGAAACATGATTAAGGAGCTCATCCGCATTTGGAAGCTCAAAGAGTTTGTTGTCGTTGTCGTACATACACAGCGGCAGAGCAAAGCTGCAGTAAGAGAACCCTTAAACGGACCTATCCGGGCCAATGAGGTCCACGTAGCAGAGATAATCCTAACCATTTTCGGGGGAGGACCTCGGCCCTCCGGCGGGAAGAGACAGCGTTCGGAAGAGACATGCTCTACCTTCAAGTATAAACGTAACAATTTGTCAATTGCCTTTACAGATACAGTTCTCTCACCGAAGGATAACCCCTACAATGAAGTAATCGTCTTCACAACATTTATCAACAACTACCAGGTGGGTAGTATTCTAGTTGATACAAGGAGATAAATTACATTTTAAGGAACATTTCTTTCACGTACATTTTAAGGAGCATTTCTTTCACGTTCATTGTTGTGCTCACAATAGATTTTTTGTATTATTACAATGGTTTGGATTGTTTGAATTATTATAATGGTTCGCAATTTGGATTGTTTAGCTGCTTGGTTGGGTTCAAGAACAATTTACTTGTGCTGAGTTGCTTGAACTATTTAAGTATATTACAAAAATGTTTAGATGCGTCTTCCAAACTGTTGCATTTCTTCCTTTTGTTTAGATTGTTTGACTTGGTTCTGAAGCAGAGCAAGGCTTACTTGTGCTTGGATTATTCAAGTAAATGCATACATGACCCTTTTTGGTTCAGGAGCAAGGATTATTTGTGTTGGGAACAAGAATTACCTGTGATGGCCTGGCTTTCTTTGCTGACATTGAATCCTTCTTGCTTCGTTTTAGTTATTACAACAGTTTACTTCTCTATTATTTCTTAGTTTTTAAGCTATTTCTTACGCTGAAAAATTATTAACATGGTTAAGATGTCATCAAATGATGATTCCAATTTACAAAATCTCATTATTGGTATGACATATCGACATACATACGTGTTTATAAAGATAAGATTAAATAAAGTTGCCTAAGATTATTAGTCTTACTCTTTTACTTTGGAAGTCAAACACTTGTGCAAATCATAATGGAGGAATACAACAGTTTGTCTGAAATTTAAATTGACGCCTTAGACATGAAATCCAATTTCACTATGCTTGGAAGACACATAAACCGTGCAACCGTATGGTTAAGTTACATTCAAGTGATGAAAGGAGTTCATAATGCATAATCTCACTCACCTGGACGATTAATTTGTAAATACCAACATTGCCGTTTAAAAATCAACCACCCTCTTCCATCCATTTTTCAAATTCTCACCCACCAAGATGATTAATTTGTAGATACCAACGTTTGGGGAGGTGTCCATGTAATTATCCCAAAAGAGACGTTGGATTGATTACATGTTCCATATTTTCCTCCATCAAACTGATTGATCCAAAACCTCTATGTATTCATCAATGTCCTCTCCTCTTCCACTCGAACAAGAGGAACAAACACAGGAGCTGTCAAAGCTCTTCCTAAGCTAATCGGCCTACTGATTCTCTGAACCTGCACAGCCTCCATTGTTCCAGGGAAAGACAGGCTCCTGTTAAAATTCTGAAGAAAACTCAAACCACCTTCTCTCGGCAATGGAATCAGAACCTCCCTGCCTTCCTCATCTGTCACCGTTCTGTAAAACCCATCGTCTTCAATGTCATAGAAATTCGCAGTCCTCACCTCCTGAGCTAACGAACACGACCAGCAGAACAGCCACTGAAAATAATCAGTCATGGTTGGAGAGCTGCAGCAGAATGGGTTACCAGGAAGCTTAAACTTCTTCCTCATCTCTGTTCTCCAAAACCCAGCGTAGAACAGTCCTAAAACGCTAAGCAGGCTTCCGGCTATAACCAGAATCAGTTTTATGGTATCGTTGTCTACATTGAGAGCTGCGATTGCAAAGACCCAGAATGGAGCAACGCAGAGAAGAATGAAGGTGATTATATGAACATACATGTTGCCAAAACCGAGTCTTTCCATGTTCCAACCGAACACACAGAAGGTGCAGAAGAATGAAAGGCAGCTAACGGTCATATCATCCCTGCAATCCATTAGTCCCCCAATCCACTCCGGGCTTGTAATAATGATTTTCTGTTGGAGCTCCTCTGGTTCATGTTGCAGTCCCTGTTGATTCTGCAGCTCTTCTTCTCCTAGCGGGATCTCATCATTCACTCTCCCTAACGGACTGTAGATTGTGTATAAAACAGCCATGATTGGAGCCGCTATCCCAACAGCAATGGAGAGATTCTCAGCCCAGTCAGGCCTTGTTGCGCTCGTGAAACCCCAGTAGAGACCGCAGAGCGCGTATTGGGAGAAACAGGTGATGTGAAGAAGGAGGACAACCACAAGCATGTGAATCCTTTCGTTTCTCTTCGGAGCTCCATTTTTGCAGTAAACTTTTCTTAGCACTCCTTCTTCCCCAGGTATCCATCTCAGCAGCAGAAACAAATGATGAAAGAACTTGGGATGCTCGTACAGAGCCATCATGGTGAACAGCGCGTTGAGGATTTGGTTTATAATCTCCGACCAGTTATCTCTTTGCTTTTTGCTCGGAATTGCTTCATTCAGTATGCCTGTCATGACCAGGAAGAGCAAGAAAATACCTGCTGCAACAAACAGTAACCAGATAAACAGAGCAATGTGCTCAGGACCCTTAATCCACTGCTTGAAAGAATTCCATAGAAAGCTCCACTTGATCTTCCGGGCAAAGGGGACGCGAAACCGCCGGCGACGAGGCTTCGCCGGATCCGAAGGTGAAGGAGAGTGGTCTGGTGGAGCTGAAGATTGCTCCATAACATTCCTAAACCATTCATTGGAAGGGTGAGCTTTTAAGAAATCGAGGAAGCGTTCTTCTTTGTCATGGCGGCTTTGGGTGAGGAGGCCTTTTTGAATTGCTGGAATGTAGATGGGGATGTAATCTCCAAGCTTTTTTCTGCCGCTGTTTCTCTGTGATTCTTCCTGGATTTCAGAGTTATGATCCCCATTCTGAGCTGAATCCATGCAAGTTTGTTCTTTTGGTGTCATTCTGTAAATTTTGGATCAAAAGCTGAAAATTTTCTTTTAGATGATGACTGTTCAATGTACATAAATTATGATAAATAGCATGAAATGGTGAAATTTCAGAAAATTTCACAAATTTGTGAAAACTCCTGCGCACGGGAAAATTCTAACTAAAAAAATTTGAATATTTGGTTTTAAATTTGAAGGTTAATAGTCTAATTTTGCTATTTAATAAGTAATTTGAAAAATACATGATCTATAATTATATAAGTTATTATTAAAATAAAAAATTAATTATTTATATCTTATTTGATTATGTAATATATTATAATTAAAACAAGTCAAATAGGAACATATATATGTAAAAGCTCAGCGCAAGCTCGAACTCAATATAAGTAACTTATGATTAGACCAAACCAAGTTCAATCTATAACATACTCGATTTGATTCGGCTCAATTACAACTTTAACCAGCACAGGCCTCCCAACAAAATTTACTATCTAGACGTCATTTTCAAGCAAGCTCATTCGATCTGTCAATAATTATGCAGGTCAGGTGATTTTTGCAAGGAAGTACAGCTATTTAGGCAAATTACAAAAATGTATGATCTCCTTTGCAAACTTTGATGCTACTCTAGATGACTAAATCTGTAATATTTATTTTCGTTTTCTTCTTCATGTACTGTTTGGATCTAAGAACTTCAAAAAATTCTTAAGGATTTATAATCAGTTTCGTAATTTTTAAACTTCTGTTGAACTGATTCAAGATATTTCTTGAGCTGAATCTCCTCAGCCTGAATTTTTCTACTATTTTTGGACAACAATGGCATTTGTTAGCAGATGACTTCTGCCAAAAACAGTTAGCTACTGAAATCTAATTCAACTTCGAAAGAACTAGATGAGAGATCTGCAAAACTAATATCAAATGTTTGATTTTGATGAGGATATTTCAGACAAAAAAAAAAAAACCATTTTTCTTTTAGTAATCTACTTCATTCAGACTACTGTGGACATTCAAAACTTCAATTTTTGGTGGAAAAAAATTAGATCTTTCCGTCAAATTTTACAGCTTTTTTTTTTTCTGAAAACAGCAGTAAGTCTTTCATGGCTGATAAAAAAGGAGAGAGAAAATAAGAACAATACCTGGATCAATCAACTAAAGGCTTGAGAGAGAGTCATGAGGATCCCAAAGATAAAAAACCAACTTTTGCTTCTTCAATCGCTCCTTTCTTCATCGGCTTCAGCTCAAAAAATGCTACAGAGAGCATTCCAATCAGAATATAAATATAAAGCAGCAGAGAATTAAGATTTTTTTTTGCTGGGTAATCACTGCCCTTACAGAAGTTCTTGAGCTGTCTGTCCGCTCCTTTGATCTTTATCTTCGATTTTTTTAATGATTTTGAAGCACTCAACGAACCAGTCAGTGAGAGGAGTTTATGTCGCTCTGTGAATCCTCCACAGATCGTTGACTTCGTACGGACTGGGTTTCTTTCCCAAACAAGAGCCCTAACGCCACTTGCCAAACGCTTTAAAGCGCAGGTCTCAATCACATTAAAAATGAGGGGAATACATCTCCTAATAAAAAAACTATATTTTTGTTAGATCTATAAAAATGTGCCATATGTCTAATGTCTTTTTTTTTTACTCTAAAGATGATAGAACCGGCTCTCAATCCATCATGTCTTGGTTGGACCCATGCGATTAAACACTCGAGTACCCCCCCTAGATAGAGAACAACTCATCTGATGGGATTCGAACCTCGGTCCGGAGCGGACTTACACTGCTGAAACGAATGCTCTACCGACAGAGCTGGAACCGTGCAACACGTGTAATATCATATACATGCGTAAAATTAAGTTGCACCACTAAATTAATATTTAAATCATATAGAAGAAAATACACTCATTTGGGATATTCAAATAAAATAATGAACATAAATACAAATTAAAAATCTACAAAGGAGTCATCACATCAAAAGTTTCGCTGTGAAGATAAGGAGAAATGAATAGAATACTACGGCGCGTATACTTCTTCTCTACTCTCTTGGTATTAACAAAAAATTTGGATGATTCTTCCTCTCTCGACTGCACAAGCGAAATCCGTCTAACTCCACCGTTCGACTCATCACATAACTCGCACTTGTTACGCACTGTCGAGTGAATACATAAGTTATAGAATGAAACGAGCACTTAAAATTGAATCGTGTCAAGCTTTGCCTTCCACTCGCTCTATTTTACATAAACATCATTCATTTCCTATGAATTAAAATATTTACATCTAATATTTATTTTTTACATTTATAGAAGATCAAATATTTCATATCATATTGAAAATATCATTTTTCTTTAATCTTCAAAAAGTGAACTACATCTTTTAGAATATAAATAAGATGATAAAAATGTAAAAATTAAAATTTAAGTATTGGTATGTATGTAAATACATGAGAATCGAGCGTAACATTAATTATTCATGTACCGTATTCTTCTTAGAAAATAATTGCTACTTTGGAATTATTTTTATTTTTCTTTCTTTTTTTAACTTTTTTTTAAAAAAATATATTTACTTCATACATTTTTCACATATTTTTTATTTTTTTAAATAACTTCCTTTTAAAAATCATTTAAAACTTTTAAAAAACAACCTTTTAATATGATATATATATATATATATATATATACAAAGGAAATTTG